AACTCGAGCGGTGTTTTGTTATTGGACTTCTGTGCAAGCCGCAGTTTGGCCATAACGAACACCATGTTCGAACATAAGGATGCCCACCGGTACACTTGGTACCAGGGCAGCCTAGGTCACAGGTCGATGATAGGTTTTGTAGTCGTATCATCTGACCTGCGGCCGTATGTTTTGGACACCCGAGTGAAGAGAGGGGCGGAGCTGTCAACTGATCACCACCTGGTGGTGAGTTGGATCAGATGGCAAGGGAACATGCCGCGTAGACCTGGCAGACCCAAACGCATAGTGAGGGTCTGCTGGGAACGCCTGGCAGAAGAACCTGTCAAGACGGTCTTCAACTCCCACCTCCGGCAGAGCTTTGACCACGTCCCGAGAGCAGTGGGGGACATTGAGTCCGAGTGGGCCTTGTTCCACTCTGCGATTGTCGAGGCGGCTGTTGCTAGCTGTGGTCGTGAGGTGGCCGGTGCCAGTCGTGGTGGCAACCCCCGTACCCGCTGGTGGACACCAGAGGTTCGGGGAGCTGTCAGGCTGAAGAAGGAGGCCTACAGGGCGTGGCTGGTCTGTGGGTCTCCGGAGGCAGCAGACAGGTACCGGATAGCCAAGCGGGGTGCAGCAGTGGCAGTTGCCGAGGCAAAATCTCGGGCGTGGGAGGAGTTTGGTGAGGCCATGGAGAAAGACTATCGATCGGCTCCAAAGAGGTTCTGGCAAACTGTCCGGCGCCTCAGGAGAGGAAGGCAGCAACTCGCTCACACTGTTTACAGTGGGGATGGGGAGCTGCTGACGTCAACTGAGGCTATAGTCGGACGGTGGAAGGAATACTTTGAGGAGCTCCTCAATCCCACCAATGCGCATTCCGAGAAGGAACCAGAGCTGGGAGGCCTGGGGATGGACTGTCCGATCTCGGGGGCAGAAGTTGCTGAGGTAGTCAAACAACTACACAGCGGCGGAGCCCTGGGGGCGGATGAGATTCATCCTGGGTATCTCAAGGCTATGGATGTTGTAGGGCTGTCATGGTTGACACGTCTCTACAACATTGCGTGGTCATCGGGGGCAGTTCCTAGGGAGTGGCAGACCGGGGTGGTGGTCCCCATCTTTAAGAAGGGTGACCTGAGGGTGTGTTCCAACTATAGGGGGATCACACTCCTCAGCCTCCCTGGAAAGGTCTACTCCAAGGTACTGGAGAGGAGGGTCCGATCGATAGTTGAATCTCAGATAGAGGAGGAGCAATGTGGTTTTCGTCCTGGCCGTGGAACTGTGGACCAGCTCTATACCCTTGCAAGGGTGATGGAGGGGGCATGGGAGTTTGCCCAACCAATCCACATGTGCTTTGTGGATTTGGAGAAGGCTTATGACCGTGTCCCCAGGGGCACCCTGTGGGGGACGCTCCAGGAGTATGGGGTGGGTGGCTTTCTGTTAAGGGCCATTCAGTCCCTTTACCAGAGGAGCGTGAGTTTGGTCCGCATAGCCGGTAGTAAGTCGGACCTGTTCCCAGTGAGGGTTGGACTCCGCCAGGGCTGCCCTTTGTCACCGGTTCTGTTCATCACTTTTATGGACAGAATTTCTAGACGCAGCCGTGGTGTGGAGTGTGTCGAGTTTGGTGGCAGGAGAATCTCGTCTCTGCTTTTTGCGGATGATGTGGTCCTCCTAGCTTCATCCAGCTCTGACCTTCAGCTCTTGCTGGGTAGGTTCGCGGCCGAATGTGAAGCGGCTGGGATGAGGATCAGCACCTCCAAATCTGAGACCATGGTTCTCGACCGGAAAAGGGTGGCTTGCCACCTCCGGGTCGGGGGAGAGGTCCTACCTCAAGTGGAGGAGTTTAAGTATCTCGGGGTCTTGTTCACGAGTGAGGGTAGGAGGGATCGGGAGATCGACAGGCGGATTGGTTCGGCGTCTGCAGTGATGCGGACGCTGAGCCGATCTGTCGTGGGGAAGAGGGAGCTGAGCCAGAAAGCCAGGCTCTCGATTTACCGGTCGATCTACGTCCCAATCCTCACCTATGGTCATGAGCTTTGGGTAATGACCGAAAGAACGAGATCGCGGATACAAGCGGCCGAAATGAGTTTCCTCCGTAGGGTGGCCGGGCTCAGCCTTAGAGATAGGGTGAGGAGCTCGGACATTCGGGAGGGACTCGGAGTAGAACCGCTGCTCCTCCGGATCGAAAGGAGCCAGTTGAGGTGGTTTGGGCATCTGGTCAGGATGCCTCCTGGACGCCTCCCCGGGGAGGTGTTTCGGGCATGTCCTGCCGGCAGAAGGCCCCCGGGTCGACCCAGGACACGTTGGAGAGGTTACATCTCCAATCTGGTCCGGGAACGCCTTGGGGTCCTGCCGGAGGAGCTGGTGGACAAGGCCGGGGAGAGGACGGCCTGGAGCTCCCTAGTTTTGATGCTGCCCCCACGACCCGGACCCGGATAAGCGGAGGAAGACGAAGACGAAGTCTTGTCTAATAATACCCACCAGCTGTAAGCAGTTAACAATACATGGCATTCATTCTTACTAGAGACAATTGCAAATGTTTTGATTACGTGAGTAAACCACACCTTTAAAGGGACTATAAGGAAGTTTGACAGTCAAAACATGTATAGAAATAATACATTTCTTCTTCATGCTCGGGTCGAGCAGGCTGCTTCATGCGAGTTCACTCTCAGGCATAGCCCGTAACATTTGCTATCCGTAGCTTTAGCAGCAGAGAGAGGCAGTGCCAACTCAGCGACTTTGTCGCTGTTCGTAACGCCTAGTGACAAACCTAGCTACACTTCTGAGGACCCTTGGCTATGTTCTGTAGAACTTTCTTCTAGATATTTCCTGCAAATTAGCAACAAAATAGTCATTTTCGCTCTGAACCGTTCTTTGGATTGACGTCGTTACAGCTGTCATCAAGGATATTAATGTTACAGATTCATCAAATGTTACTGGTGCTTTAGCTCACCTAGTAAGATGGCTGACTCTCACACTGAGTATCTGGTTTCAATTCCAGGTGTGAATATAGTTTATTTGGAGTTTCTTTTTTACATTAATGGTATATTTTTTTTTACAATAATAAGACGCCCAAATTTTTATTTGAGACTCGCAGAAAGGCATTGAATTCACGGATAAAAAAGATGTGGGTTCAACTTTCATTTTGGAACAATTTTTCAAGCAAGGGGAGGGAATGATCTGACCATGCAGGACTGACCCATCTTAAACCTTTGTTGGCTGTGCTGAAGAGAAAGGTACAGAACCAAATTATTTAATTAATTAGCTGTGCGTTCTCCTGTCCTCTGTCCTTCGGGCCACACACACACACACACACACACACACACACACACACACACACACACACACACACACACACACACACACACACACATACACACACACACACACACACACACACACACACACACACACACACACTGTACTTTCGGCCGGCCGGCCAATGAGAAAATGCAGTTGCAGAGACAGAGGCACATTATTTTATTAATTTGCTGTATTGTTCTGTCCTCCGGGCCACATACACACACGGGAAGCTCTCAGAGCTCTGTGCTCTGTCTCAGCTGTTATTTTCGTTAAGGAGTGTGCACGTACAGCATGCGCGCCTCGTGCATGAGCCTACTATTGAAGCTGCCGTTACGCTTTTGGCCTGAGGGGGCAATCGCGAGCATAAAAATTCAAAAGTCCGAAAAGTCCCTTTAAGAAAAACAAGAATTGCACATCACATACAACAACCACTTTGCCACAAAACTGCATAAATGTTAGGGTCTGAAGTTGCTTTGATTAAACGTTCAAGGACTTATTTCAAGTATTTACTTCACAGTAAGGTTCTCTAAATCATTTGGCAGATGATGGGAGTTCAAATTATTTGTGGAGAACATGTGATGGACCGAGATTCACCAATCTTGCCTCAGACCACTGCTCATAAACCTGTCCTTATCACCCCCAGACAAGCAAGCTTGGTTAATTATCAAATTACGTAGAACAGGTAGAGTAGAAACAAATCTCTGTGGTCTACCAGAAACACTCTGAAGCCTAAATTATGATAATTTCATGATCAAAAGCCAAAGACAGCTCAAGCATGAGATGATGATTACATAATCAGTGTTACAACGAGGTGATCAGACCACAACCAACCAAATGAGGGACAACATACATGTTTAACAGTTAGTGTAATCTGTTACTAGTCCTAACATAGATTTTTTTCTGACCTAAATTAACTTGAGTTGTTTTTAGAAACAATACTTCTCACAGGCTTATACACTGTGTGGATATTGATATGAGAATGTTCTCCTTGGTGAATGAATTGAAATGAAACTGATGATAGAGTATCAGCCAACCCTCCACACACCGCCTGTTCCCAGTAGCTCTGTACTCACACCAGCTTTCCACATCTAGTTTGGAGCATTAAGCCTTTCAGATGTAAGTCCTGTTTGTTCTGAACTAAAACACTTACACTTCTCTATCTAGGACAGTTGGAGTCAGATTAAACACTAAAGCACCAGAAGCTTCCCTGCCTAAAACCAACACGATGGGGGAGTTTTTATCGATACTGATCTGAACACAAGACTCAGTGCCTTGTATTTCCAGATTTATATCAACCAAATCCCACAAGCTGTCTCATAATTTCTGTCTTTCTTCTGTGTTGTGCTTTTTTTTTATCTTGGCTGCATAACTGAAGCTGAGTCAGAGCAGAGAACACACAACCAGCAGCTTGGAAGTGTGTATTTCTGCGATGTGTGTGTATGTGCGTGGGCGTGAAGTGCAAACTCATTTGTGGATCAAATTTCAGTATGAAAGCAGCAGAAGAAAAGGACTCTCTGGATCTAATGCACCTTGTTTGATTTGACACCAGAAAGGTTTATTGCCCCCCTCCCCCCAGTGTATTATGCATAACTGGAGACCCTCAGGGCTCCCTCCACCCTTCTTAGTGCAGCAGTGAGGGATGCATGGGTCTGTCCTAACCCAGTTACAGAAGCTTCACATGTGAGTGAACTCATCTGTAACACTTTTTGTGTCATTGCTTGCAGGACAAGGAGTATGTGGGTTTTGCAACGCTTCCAAACCAGCTTCATAGGAAGTCGGTGAAAAAAGGCTTTGACTTCACACTGATGGTGGCAGGTGAGGCAAGATGCTCTGGCTGGGATGCTCTATGTTGAATGCGAGCCATTCTGCACCTTGAGCAGATCCGGTACCTACACTGAGAAACAGCAGAGTGTCTCAGCTAGTTTAAGCTAACCGTTAGCATTAGCAACTGCACCACATGGCAGAAACTCCTCCAGGCTTGTTTTTTTTTCTGGAGATAAAACATCCACGTTGCAAGTTAGTGGTAGAGTTGCATTGCTGTTATTCAGTCTGAGGGAAGATGTCCAAAAATCAGGAAATAAGACTCCAAATCCTGCAGTCTGAAGCTCAGCTGTGATGTGGGAAACTTTCAATTCCAAGAAATGGCACACCAGTATATATATCCCCCCCCCCAAGAAGGATTTACAAGTGGGAATGTCCCAATCCCTGGATCGGATCTGGCCGATTTTTTCATATTTTTCAGTGATTGGAGATCGGCAATTATACCTGACAAGTCTTGCCGAAATAGACTAGGAGCACGTTAGCATATGCTTATTCCGGGGGAAAATCTACTGTAGAGGGCTCCTCTTCCTCTGTGATAGTCTCGCTCTGTTTACGGTCATTTTTTCCAAAAGAAGTCAGCCAAATGGATGACAAATCAAGTGGCGATTTACATTTCTCAAGATGTCTGGGACACTTACTGAACTGCTCCGCTCCCCTGTCAGCTCGCGTGAGTTTAAATCCTTCCAGGGAAACGAATCCTCAGAGTCTGCTGTGAGCTTGTTCATCCATGTCTCCATAAAAAAAACATAAGGCTGTCAGTAGCCCTGCAGCAGTAGCCAGGTCAGCGCTGAGAGCTCGTCGATATTATTAGGTAGAGAGTGGACATTCCCCATAATCTTGATGGGTAGATATGGTTTATATCTCTGTTACCTCTCCAGAGCTAAATTCTGGAGGCAGAACCGGGTTTTTGAGGAGAGAGCCAGCGTAAGCAGCGCCCACAGCTGATCCCTGCATTTAACAGTCAGTTCATCCTGATGATTACGTCCCGCTCTGCTGCATCTTCGTTTCTCCTTAATTCCGGAGGCAAAACCGACATTTCCCGTGGAGAAGCTAAAGAGAGCTAGCATTAGCTGTGCCCACCTTAGGGGCATTGAAAGATGCAAAAGCAACTAATAAAAAGAGAGTAACGAAGCAAGAGCTGCCATTACTGACTGCAGCCCACTTCGCGCTTTCTGTAACTGAATGCAATCTTTCCTTTTCCGTACTTTAGAGTCCATCTTCACAGCAGCAATTCACCGCAAAATAAAGCTACTGGAAATATAACATTCTACTTCTGGTCTCAAAACAGCAAGTTGATTTCATGGGATTTACAACAATAATGGTAATGGTTATTATTGAAATTAGTCTTAGAAAGTTAACTTGAGTTACTTGCTAAAAATATTTTTCAGCTTTATATATTTCAATAGAAAAGGCAAACTATCGGAACGGGACTCGAAATTGTATCAGATAAGTTAAAAGATCGGATTGGGGCTTAAAATGCTGATCAGGACATCCCTAGTTACAAGGTATTCATTCCTAATAAACCACTGCAAATGTATCGATAAAATGAGTGAACTACTCCTTTAAAACTTGTAAAAGTGAATCATCTATTTAATTTAATCTCCAACTCAAATCACTATAGACACCAACATAATTCAAATGTCACTACCAAACCTTTCTGCTGTCTATGTTTCAGGAATTATTTATGCACAAAATAATATTCGTACTATAATTGTTTGTTTAAAGCACAGTTTTTATTGACTGTAAGCCTGTGTCTCTAAGTGCCCAGTTGTTATGGTGACCCTGATGATCCACTAGCAGCAGCTATAGCATTTCTGTTGATCTTGGTTTATTTTTATTTTTATTATACAGCTTATACACCAAAGCCTTGTTATTTAGTTTTAACTTGGGTTATTTAAAGATTATTTCCAAAAGACTTTTAATATTTCTAGAAGAAAGTGTATGTTTGTAAGAATATCACAATCTTTCTTGTGTTACTGAGCAAATCCTGGTCCATGTTCAAACAGGATAATGAAGATTCTCCATAATCAATATAGGGAAAACTGCACACGATACTACAGGAAAAAAAAACCCAAATCAAATTACTCCCCCTACCAAAAAATGCTGCTTGATGTATGAAAACAGTGTACTAATTTGTGACAGGTTTTATTATGACTGAAGGAAAAGTGAACGAGTGTACGTTTTGCACGTGTGTACCTTTAGGTGAGTCTGGCCTGGGTAAATCTACGCTGGTGAACAGCCTTTTCCTCACTGATCTGTACAAAGAGAGAAAGCTGCTGAATGCCGAGGGTGAGTTAGATCAAACACACACACACATTCACACATTTGTTCATGTGTGTTTGAACTCACTTACTTTACGTGTGTGTGGCATTTTCTCCTAAAGAGCGAATCAAACAGACGGTGGAGATCACCAAGCGAACTGTAGACATTGAGGAGAAAGGAGTGAAGCTGAAACTGACCATCGTGGATGTGCCCGGGTTTGGAGACGCCGTCAACAACACAGAGTGGTGAGATGAAGATGTTCTCCAGTAGAAGTACCTTTGTGGGGCAAATATGCTGAGTGTCCTTAAAAATACAGTTTTTCATCTGGTTAAATGTCTTTAAGACCTAAAAAACAAGCCTGTACTTTTCCCCGTTTTTACAACCTGTAATAAACTCACAGAAAATAGTCCAAGGTGATGAAGAAATATTAGCGTTGCTGTTGGGGACAACGCTGGAGTCAAAGAGTAAATTAAATAATCTCAGTTTGGTTCCACATCATTGACACTTTTTCCTGATTATTCATAAACCACAGACAGGTGTGACAGGTGGAGGTTCGAGGTTCCAGCCCGACACTGGAAGTCGATTATTCTTTTTTGTTTGTTGACGCAGTGTGTGCACGTTTAAGGAAGTCTACCTTTGTCAGATCTGGAACTCGAGTTTAAAACGTGATAAAAAATACACCCTGTGACAATTTTAAGGGTTTTTGTGTTACAAGCTGGTGGACTATTATGAGGGAAATGTCCTTAAATACAGTTGTGCCAGTAAGTTTACACACTCTGGTGGAATTTCATGATTTTTTTAGCCATTTCTCAAAGAATATGAATGAAAACACAAAAGCCTTATTTTGATTCATGGTCACTAACGTTGTGAAGCATTTTATTGTGGAAAAAAAAGTGTGAACCCATTTCAAATCACCATAACAAAATGAAATACCAAATTGACCCTGTGGAACACCCCAGTTCCTAATGCCCTGTGCTGCCCCGTTTTAACATCAGTGACAGCTTGGAGTGTTTTGTGATAGTTGTGGAGAAGGTTAGTCTAATGTTAAAGCAGCCCATGCTTCCATTTAGCCGTCATGAGTCTGAGCTCTCCCCACAGTGGTTCAATGATGTTGAGGTCAGGAGACTTAGATGGCCACTCCAGAACCTTCACTTTATTCTGCTGGAGCCAGTGGCAGGTCCACTTGGCTTTTTGGATGTCTTGTTGGAACACATGTGAACATATATACTGCTGCTTTCATCTTGCCTTCAGTTCGACCACGTTTCCAATGCCTTGGTAACTCTCACATCACCAAAACATCAGTGGACAAACTCCATATTTCACAGAAGAGATGGTTCAGTTTTCATCATGGGCCTTGTTGACCCCCTCTCTAACTGAAACGTTTATGGTTGTGGCTAGCGATGCACAATATATTGGCATCAATATCGGTATCGGCCAGTGTTAGTCATTTTTAACATAACGGTATCGGTCCAATAAATAAAACTGGACCGATATTAACAACCGATAGTTTTTCCATTTGGTTTCCAGTTGTTTATCAGTTTGAGAGGGTGGGGGTGGGGGGGTGATGTGTGTTTGTTTAGTCGTGACAGTGATTGTAATCATCTCAAAAGCTTAAATGTTTGTGGTGTGTGTACATAATAACACAAATTTAGCTTTATTAATTATCATTCTATACAAAATCTGCTTATTCTAGAAGCATTAATGTGAGTATATTGGTATCAGCAAATGTCAGTTATTGGTCATAACAGTGTTTTTAATATCGGTATCGGCCCAAATATTTCATATCAGTGCATCATTAGTTGTGGACTAAAGTTCAATTTTGGTCTCATTACTCCAGATGTTTTTGTTCCAAAGACACTGAGGCTCGTCTCTGCTGTGTGGCATATTGTAAGCAAGGGTCTTTGTGGCGTTTGCATAATGGCGTTCTGCTGGCAACTCAGTCTTGTAGCCTGTTCTTTTTTTTTCAAGTGTATCCTTATTCTGCTCCTGCCTTGCCACTGCCGTAGAGAGAGTCCAGATTGTCAGCAGAAGTTATTTTAGGGTTAATTTTTAGATCAAGAACAATTTTTCTGCATGTTTTGTCTCAAAAATGTCTGCTGGGCTACCTGACCGTTGTGTGGTTTCAACAGAACCTCTAATTTTACACTTCTCTTTCAGAGTTCTAACTGCTCACTGGCTTTATCAGTATCTTGGATATCTTTTTATTGTTGTTTTATGTTAGCAAATAACCAAACAATGTCATTGAAATAAATACAGCAGCCATCTCAACCCTAACCCATTACACGTTGTTTTTGGCTGGTGGACAACATCTCTGTTTCTCTGAACAGAGGCTGTTCAGAAGGCCATCTGTAGTGTGTGTTACAGTCACCACTTTTAAATTGTACGTAGACCTTTACCTTAAAGAGGACAGATGTTACTGAGGCGTTTTAGTAACACTCATTATGTTTATCACAACTCAACACCACATTCATTCACTTTGATAAAAATCAGAAAACATTCTCAACACCCAAATGTCATTTCATGTTGTCTGATTAAAGTGTAAAAACTATGTTCACCACTTTTCTGAAGAGATCTGTGCTCCACAGCAGCGGCTGAGCTCAGCTGACCTTCTCCTGTCTGTTTCAGGCAATTGTAGTGTAAC